TATTTTGTAGCAAACCAAACTAACTCTTCCATTCATTCGTATCATTAAGAGAAAAACACCCAAGCACCGCAGTCATAGTCGTAAAGCCATTAAGCTCTGCATTTACTTCCTAAATAAGCAGCTAGTGTAAATGTGTGTGTTATGCTAACTGCCATAGAGCAAATACACAGGAATTGAGCGCAGTACGCCAAGTTCCGTTTTAATATACCAATGCAGAAAGAACAGCTGTTTTCCATACCTTCTGGTTCTCCCCTGGTCTTGCCATGTGAACTCTGCAGATCTGTGCTGTGCATTCAACACAAGAGAAGCTGCTTGCACGGTCATAGGTTTTGGGGGGTGGGGGTGGGGAGGGAATTCACTTTCCCCTGGTTATTTATAGCAGGAGGCATTCCATGTTTTTGTTCCAAGTCAGTTTGTGGTTTCCTTCTGTTTCCAGCCAGTTCCAGACTTCTGCTTGCAGCCATACAGGTTTCTACCATGGTGTCATTGTGCATCCCCCCTACTCTTGCATTGGTAGGTGTGATAAGTGCTCTGCATGGTGCTTGTGGTGCTTGCACTGCCACTGGACTCTCTCTTAGTGGTGGCGGTTTGGACATCATGGTAAAAGTAAGGATTTTCAGGCCTAAGTGGGAACTGTGTATCGTCTCTTTTCCTCCCTCTGCACTATGGACCAAAACTGGTTCTGGGCTGCAGCTTTCAATATTAGCAGAATGTAAGCTGCTTAAACATTCTGACCCCTGTGCTTGAGTAGGGCCAGCTGAGGTGGGCTCTCTTAAGATAATTATTGTTAGTGTTTGCATTTTTCCGTTCGCCAGTCAGATGAATTCATTCAATCTAGCTCTCTAAAAACTTTGGAGTGCAGGTTAGTTTTGTTGTACAGATACAGTTGAAAATTGCTGTAGACTTTTTCAAGATTGGCTTACTTTTCAATGAAGAGCTTAACTTAGTGTACAGATTTGACTGGCTATTTCCTGATTCTACATTTTCATTCCCATTCCAAGGATTCACATTGTGATAGTACCTTAAAAACCTGTGGAGGGTGTGGGGCAAAAGACACTTGCCTGTGGCCAGCTCTATATGTCATCAGTAACGAAGTCAAAACAGCTGGGCTTTTTTGATACACAAAGAAAATGTTGTTGTGGCAACAGAGATGGCATAGACATTTGAATGTGGACATTGTGTTTATGCTGTCTCAAGGACGAGGATGGTTCAGCAAGACAACCTAGTAATTTTTAAGTTTAAATGCTGTTTCCATTAACCCATGGGTCACAAATGCTTTTAAAACATACAGTAGGCACCAACAACCAGTAGATCCAGGGCTAAATCTGACCCACCTAAGAAGTGCTGTCCAGTTCCCTTAGTCCAAGGCTGGGAAACCTATGGCCCTCCAGATGTTTTGGATTAATCCAACAAAACCATGGGCTCCCCATACCTGCCTTAGCCAATCCAGAAGCATGTGTTTTTGTGTGGTGTAGAGGGGTCTCTTAAATATATATATATATGATTTATCATAAGCATATGTACAAGCACATAACCTTACAAACAATAACAGAACTGTACACAGAGCATAATCAGTATTAATTTTTTTTTTACAAAGATGCAATTCCATATAGCTGAAATTTTAAGATGAGTCTATATAGCCCAGCCACAATGAAGAGTGAGTCATGGGAGGAGTAGTAATGTGATTCTCCCTTATTTAACTCAAAACCGGAAACCAGACCACGTCAAAATGTCTGATTTAGTTTTGCTGCAAACTGTGCATTAACATCTGTTCAGATAAAGCAGTGTTCCATATACAGTCGTATTTTGGATCTTGAATGACTTGTGAGTTGAAAGTTTTGGGTCCCGAATGCCACAAACCCAGAAGTGATTGTTCCGGTTTGCGAATGCTCTTTGGAACCTGAATGTCTGTTGTGACATCCGTGGGTTCCAATTGGCTGCAGGAAGCTGTGCCTTGGTTTCCGAACTGTTTTGGAAGTTGAACGGACTTCCGGAACAGATTCCGTTCGACTTCCAAGGTATGACTGTATTAGTAAAGCATGCTTCAGGCATAGGAACTTTAGATGGTTTCTAATCTGGCTGCTGATAGTAACATAAGTACTAGACTTTTATAAGTTATGGGAGGATTAACATAATTTGATAAAGAAAGAAGGGATCTGGAGGCAGAAGTTGTTGAGTAATAGTCACTATCATTGAGAAAACCCAGGTCCAGAATTATTGACTCTCCTTACATTCCCACCACAAATGAATGAATGAACCCTTTCCCCACACCCCATCTAACAAGACGGAGACACAGTATTCATAGTATGGAAAGGTGTCTAGTGCCGTCACACAATGACTTTAAGAATGGCCGAAATGGACTTAATAGGGGGCTTCACCCATAATCAATCCCATTGTGCCTCATTGTGTGGGTTCTGTGGCCATGAGACTGACTATAGCAGTCTCTTTTGCAGAGTTGGCTCTTCCCCTGCTGTGACTTCAGTACAACTAGTTTCTGACTCAGAGTAAATAGGGCAGAAACACTGTTTTTCAAAAGGAGGATATGAATAAAGGGTATGCTACTCTGAAATAATTTGTTGATAGTTCGTGAGTCTAACCAATATCGGCTAGCAACAAATATTCAGATTCGCAACTTAATTTCCATCAGAGCAATGTGCATTGGGACATGGCTGGAGGCTTTGAGCTGAATTGGATTGAACCATTCCAAGTGCACCAGAGAATTACAGCAGTCTCTAAACTGAAGAGTTCTTCCGATATTTCTGCAGTTACGGTTCTCAAGACCTATAACTTAAAATGTGGATCATTATCATTTAGGGCTGAAAGAGTAAACGTTCTTCCTACACGTGCATCCCATTGAACTTGCTGAGTTTTAATTACACCTGAGGTTAGGCTATGTGATGGTTATATGTAGATTTGTGGGGTGGTGTACACATGCTTGATGATTTCTCTGCAGTTGATGATAGGCAGCTGAATGTGTGAACCGTCACTCCATTGAAAAGCATTGCATTTGAGAAGATGTGCCAGTTCTGCTGAGGGTTGTTAGCTATGTGACAGCTCCCTCAAACATGCAACTTATCGTTTGATATGACAAACACTCAGTTTGTGCACCAGACCAATGTTTCTGCAGAATTGTGCCAGCTAACCAGTTCCCTGTTTTTTGGAATAAAAAAAATGTGTTCAAATGCTGAAAAGAATTATTAGAGGAGGCAATAAAGTACATTGGAGCAATGAACCTTTTGGACCTTTTCCTTCATCCCTTCTACTCTCTGGCTGAACTATGTATAAATAATACCTTGTTCGTAACTGCAGCCAGCCTTTCTCAACACACTGTTTAGGATACAAAGATAAAGAGTAAATTGTAGTATCTTTCCACTGTGCTCCACCCCCCTTCCATATTTTTTAATGTGCTCTCCATCTGTTGTTTTTGGGACTGTTCTGAGGAGATGATCTTTACAGGAGCAACTCAGTTGCATACCCATAAATTTCAACCTGGACATTCCATTGGGTTTTCTGTTTTTCTGAGAGACAACAACCCTGTTGATTCAAGGAAGGTATTTTTAGTAGCTACTCAGTAAGTCTTGAAAATGCACTGGGCACTCTCTCTAAGATAGACCACCAAAGAGCTGACTAGGACAGTCTGCTTCAAGCTATACAGCGGGTCAAATGTTTTTGTACAGGAGCAGCGCTCTAAAACTTCCTTGTTGAATATTCAGTAGTATCTGGGAAGCTGTCTTGTATACCCCCCTCAAAAAAAATCCTGCATTATTGATTATATAAGATATATTTGCTAAAATTTTGTCCTGCTTATGGCTATTTACTCTTTATGTAGAATTTATGTAGTTCTTTCTTCACAATGTATCTTCACAACAGCCTTATTAAATGGATAGCGGTTTCCATATTGCAAGCAGGGAAACTGAACAAGGAACAATTATTTGTTCAAAGCCACTCAATGCATTAGTAAAGAATTCTGAGTGTTGCTTCTTGATCATAAGTATTGAAAATGGAAGTCTATGGAAGCCAGTGTGGTGTAGTGGTTAAGAGCGGTGGACTCGTAATCTGGGGAACCGGGTTCGCGTCTCCGCTCCTCCACATGCAGCTGCTGGGTGACCTTGGGCTAGTCATACTTCTCTGAAGTCTCTCAGCCCCACTCACCTCACAGGGTGTTTGTTGTGGGGGAGGAAGGGAAAGGAGAATGTTAGCCGCTTTGAGACTCCTTCGGGTAGTGATAAAGCGGGATATCAAATCCAAACTCCTCTTCTTCTTCTATGATTTTTAATGCACTTGCTTCCCAGAACTTTTTCTTATTGTTGCACTAAGTCAGTTCACTGTCAAGATCTCCTTTGCTTTCTTGCTTTCCTTTCTTTGCTCGGCTCTCTCTTTGTTTTTTCACCTGCATGTGGGGCTTGACCATACAAATCTTTTGCACTTGGCTAAAACTAAACACATTTGAGCAGCAGCAGTACAGTTGGTGTCCCTGACCTCAAATGTATTTCTACTAATGTGGCTATATATTAAATTTGTTTATGCAGCAAAGCAGCTGCTTTTCATGGTCCAAGTCAAAATGGCAGGTCTTGTCCAACTGCAGGCTTGATAGTCTCCCACCGTATTTGTTTCCCCATGTGCATTCCTGTTTCTGTATCCCAAGTGGGCAAGTGGGTATTTTACATATGAGCTCTCACGCAGAACTGAAAGCACCAACAAGAGTACTGAACACTTAAAATATCATATATCAATACAAAACAAGAGTAACCAACATGGTATCCTCCAGATGTTGTGGACTACAACTCCCATAAGTCCCAGCCAGCAACATCTAGAGGGCATTGTGTTGGCTGCAAGGACCTTCAAAATCCCATGAATTGACAGTTTAAAAAAATAAATATGAATTTTACATCAAGAGAATAAAAACGCCAGTTCCCCTTTCCTGGAATACCCTTTTTAAAAAAATAAATAAAAAACAAAGACAAAATACACTTCTCTTTTCCTCTTTTCTGTGTTTACAGGTATGGGGTCAGTCCTGAGAACATCATTCTGTACGGACAGAGTATTGGAACCGTTCCCACTGTGGACCTGGCATCTCGGTATGAGTGTGCCGCTGTAATCCTTCACTCGCCCTTGATGTCTGGGTTGCGGGTAGCTTTCCCGGACACTAGGAAAACATACTGCTTTGATGCTTTCCCAAGGTATGTGCAGAACTTGCTCCCACGAAGCCATTGTTCATTTATAATACTTAAATTGGACATGTACCTTTCAAAATGGCAACAACTAAGCAAGGGCCATGGGTACATTACTTAACCAAGAGCAGATGTAGTGGCCTCAGGAATATCAGCATATTAGAGGGTAAAAAGCCCCCTGTTCGGTGGTGCTTTGAGGGTTTTTTCTTCTAGATATATCCTTCATTTAATGTTTATCATGAATTATGTTGGTGGTGATTTAATGAGGGCGGCTTCATTGGGAGACACCACCTGCAAAGCATACCAGGAGGGTTCCATGTTCACTGCTTGGCACCTTCACATTATTTATTAAATTTATATTCCTCCCTGAAGGGTGCCCAGGGTGGCAAGTAGCATAAAATCTGCTGAAACCATATCCAGCATACAATAATGAAAATGATCTATAAAAATCACAGTGCCTAGGTGTAACTATTCCCTTCAAAAGGCCTGGGGAAATAAAAGTGTCTTAAAATTCTGCCTGAAAGTAGTCGGGAGAAGGGGACTGCCAGATTTTCCCTGGGAAGGGAGTTCCAGAGGCGGTGAAGAGCAGAAAGTGACCTCTGAGACTGTGGGAAGACGCTGACAGCCAGAGTTGATCATGCTTGGCAAGCTGGGCCAGCATTCTGGGTCAACAGAAATATCTTCAAATGTTCACATATTGCTATATACTTCTTAACTTGAATTGGCATCTTGAGTGCGGATCCACTACTGACCTTTGCAAACCAAAGGTATTCTCTGTTTCTCCTGTAAATGCTTTTCGCGTGTTCTTTAAAAATATTGTGGGGTGTGCCTTTGTTCCACTTTGGAGGGAGTGGGGACTGGACTGGACTGGAGAATTGTGAAGAGGATATGTAGTTCAACTTGTATTGACCTTGAAGGTGAGAATGGTGGGTGTAATTGCATGCAACTTGTAGCGGTGTTTGAATATTAGTCAATGACTGGTTACAAAAACCATTTCTGCCTCCATAGTAGGCACCCACTTCAGTATGGATGTTCTAGTTCCACCCCCACCTTCAGAATATGAAAAGTCACTTAGCTGAACTGGTTTCCTGTGTCTTGTTCTGAGGGAATGCATAGCACTTAATAGGCTCTGTGGTTAGCAAGTTTGAAATGGTCCAGAGCACAAGCATTTTGGTGGTACAAGATCCACTGAAATGAATGGGCCAAGCTTTGAGAACCGGAGCTGAACTGGAGCAGTTCATCCATTCTTGGAGGGACGTTTCTGGTGGGGTGCACTGGAATTATGTGCTTTTGCTATCGTGTCTTGGTATAATTCCTCTGCCCTCCTGCCTTTCTAACAGTTACAAATATTTACTATATGACAAATTCTTCCTCTGAACATTCAGGCTTTAAAAAATTATTCACAAGGTTTGGAACAGAGCTTGGATGAAATAGGCCAAGTCAAATAGGAGGTGAAAAACATCGGGGCAGAGACAGCAGAGGTATTATATCATTCACTTTCTCTCTTTGCTTTCTCGAGAGCTGTTTCTTACCAATGGTCTGAATTCACTTGATCTGTTAAATGCTTTGGTACTTGAACGAATGCCCCCCTCCCTGTCCTTGTAAGAGAGAGAAAATTGTTCATTGCAGTTTACACAGAAATCTTTTGTGTTTGCTGATGTCCGATAGTCTCTGTAGATTTCTCTAGCTGCAGAACGGTGTGGTTAGGAATACCAAGTGAGGCTAATGTGCTTTCTGAATGCTGCGTTCCCAAGCAGCTGAGCTGGCAGTGGGATGCCTTCCAGTGGTTTTGCAAGCTGTAAATATTGTTTTGCTGAAATGCCTGATTAGGGATGAATGACACTAATTATGTGAGCACCACAATGGAGAGACTTCCCCCCTCAAGTTTCCTAAAAGTGAGAACTGACAATCTTGCTGTTAAGTCTTTGCATACATAATTTTATTAAGTGTTATTAATACATGTATGGGAGAATCCCACTTGTGGCTGTGTCAAGGATTCGAAAATGTAAGTTAGCAAGGGTAAGATACATTTTAAAAGAAATATATATTTGGGGAAGGATCCCTCTGAGTCCTCACTGCACCCTCACACCAATTCACCACCCTGTTAGAAATAAAAGACATAGAACAGTGGTTCCCAACCTGTGGCTGGCAGACCTCCAGAGGGCTGTGGGGTTATCCCAAGGGGTCAGTAGCAGTGGCACAGGACAGTGAGTCCCTTGAGTGGCAGGGTGGAGGCTAGAGCCAGGACAGGAGGGCAGGAGCTGAGGGCTGGGATGCCAGCAAGGCAGAGGGACAGTGGCGGCTAACTTTGCCCTTCATCTGAGGCGTGTGAGGCACTTGAGTGGCAGGCTTTTTGCTGCAGGACATGTCCAGTGCTGCCGTCCATTGGAGGCTCCTTGGTCTCCCTCCCTCGCCCAGGGTCCTGCCAGAAGAATGACCTTCCATCCAAGATGAGAGCAACCCCCATTCCTCATTCCCTTTGGCTTTCCCTGACCTCTTCCATGCCACTTCCCTTTAGCATTGGTGCCTCCAAGAGAATGATGCATAGTGAAACCGGCTGGCAGAAAAAATAAAAAGGAGCTGCATGCTGTGGTACAGGTACATGGGTAGCCAGCTGGCAACCAGGGTCATGGCTCGGTGGTAGAAAACATCAGGAGAGCCTGGCTGCTGGGTCAGGCCAATGGCCAATCTATTCCAGTGCCCTATGGGAAGCCTGAAAGCAAAGAGTGTGTGCTTTGCATGCAAAGGGTCCCAGGTTCCATCCCTGGTATATCCAGGGAAGGCAGATAAAGTCCCCTGCCTGGAACCATGGAGAGCCATGGCCAGTCAGTATAAAGCATGGTATAAGGCAGTTTTCTATGCACACTCTCCCCAGCACAGCTCCAATTGAATTCCAGTGTGCCTCAACTGTTCACTCCAACATACAGGCAAATATCCTGCTAACCCCCTCCTCCCTGGTGGGAACAGCATCTAAAGTTTTGGCAGAATGCTTGACTCGTTTCTTCTGTTCTTCCCATTTGCTTCTTGCATGGACATCAGCTGCTGAGTTGCACAAAGAGAGACTTCAGAAAGAGACTTTGATGTTGTGCACACTGGTACGGAGAGGGTTAAATGGCCCCTTCCCTGTTCCCCATTTCCTGTGGGAGGCAGGATGGACATCCATTTCTGCCAGCACCCTTTGCTCAGTTCAGAATATTGCCTCTCTTTAATAAAAGCAATAGCCATGAGCTGACATCCAGCCCTCCATGCTGTACTCACAGAGAGGGCTGAACATAATATTTTGCTTTCTTCCTCTTTAAAGATTAACAGGAGGTTCTTGCATCTCCCACAACAACTGCCCATGGTTGCCTCAGTGAGGTCTGCCTCAAAATCTGAGAACTGTGAGCCTCCAATGACCTCCTTGTATTAATTTTATTTACTTATTTACATTGTGAATTTCCAAAATCCACTGCGAATCTCCAAGTGGCTTCTTAGAAAGAGCAGCTGTAGCTTTCCTGCCAGGCACAGTTGGACAGTGTTGGCAGAAAAGAATGAACAAATGGCACTTTCTTTTTCGGGACATATTGATGGAAAGACACAGAGCGTAAAGCTCTGAATATGAGAATAGTCTAATTTAACAACAAGAGCATGAACGCTCATCCGGGCTTCAGAAGTGGCCAAGCTGAATTAGCCATTTCTCCTTCTAGAATGCTGGAAACAGATGACTTGTGTATCCCTCTGGCTTTTCAGTTATCTGCCAGGAACCCTTTCCACAAGAATAGTAGATAAGACCAGTCGTTGAATTAGACCACCGTTCTGCTTCCTCATAAGGCTCCACAAGATGTCTCCAGAAAGCAGGGAATGAAGACAGTTGCCCTCTCCTCTCTCTTCCTCCCTCCAGGTGGTTTTTAGAGGTTGTCTACCTCTAAAATATTGAGTTTATATATAGCTGGGCCCTATTGCCCCTTATTCAGGGGATGCGGGTGGCACTGTAGGTTAAACCACAGAGCCTAGGACTTGCCAATCAGAAGATCGGTGGTTCGAATCCCCACAACGGGGTGAGCTCCCGTTGCTCGGTCCCTGCTCCTGCCAAACTAGCAGTTCAAAAGCACGTTAGTGTGCAAGTAGATAAATAGGTACCGCTCCAGCAGGAAGGTAAGTGGCGTTTCTGTGCACTGCTCTGGTTCGCCAGAAGCGGCTTAGTCATGCTGGCCACATGACCCGGAAGCTGTACGCCGGCTCCCTCGGCCAATAAAGCGAGATGAGCGCCACAACCCCAGAGTCGGCCACGACTGGACCTAATGGTCAGGGGCCCCTTTACCTTTATTGCCCCTTATTGTCTCAGAGCAGGGCCATAGAACATACCCAGTGCTCTCCTGTAGCCATTTGCTGCTAAGGAGCATCTGCAATGGGAGACAGAGTTCTCTTTCAGGTGCTGCTGCTGAAGGACCAGGTGCACATCCCAGGAGTCATTTTCGACTCACAGCTGGTCCAAAATGGAGGTGTAGGTCAATTCTGTGTCCAGGGCAGCTGTTTACCAGCTCCATCTGGTACGCAGGTTGAGACCCTTCCTGCCCATGGACTGCCTTGCCTGAGTGGTGCATGCTCCAGTTATCTCCCACTTGGACTACTGCAATGCGGTCTACGTGGGGCTACCTTTGAAGGTGACCCGGAAATGGCAGCTAATCCAGAATGTGGCAGACTGGTGACTGGGAGTAGCCACCAAGACCATATAACCCCAGTCCTGAAAGACCTACATTGGCTCCCAGTACGTTTCCAAGCACAATTCAAAGGGTTTGTGCTGACCTTTAAAGCCCTAAACAGCCTCGTCCCAGTATCCCTGAAGGAGCGTCTCCATGCCCATCGTTCTGCCCGGACACTGAGGTCCAGCTCCGAGGGCCTTCTGGTGGTTCCTTCCCTGCGCGAAGTGAGGTTGCAGGGAACCAGGCAGAGGGCCTTCTTGGTAGTGGCGCCTGCCCTGTGGAACACCCTCCCATCAGATGTCAAGGAAATAGACAACTATCTGACTTTTAGAAGACATCTGAAGGCAGCCCTGTTTATGGAGGTTTTTAATGTCTGGTGTTTTATTGTGCTTTTAATTCTGTTGGGAGTTGCCCAGAGTGGCTGGGGAAACCCAGTTAGATGGTCGGGGTTTAAATAATAATAATAATAATAATAATAATTATTATTATTATTATTATTATTATTATTATTATTATTATTAATCTTTCCCAGAGTTTTCCAAAACAACTGTGACAACCTTGATTTACTCTGGTTACTGAACTTAACCAGTAATGCTCTCTTGGTTTTTGTCTTTTACATCCTCAGCATTGACAAGATCTCTAAAGTAACCTCTCCCGTCCTGGTGATTCACGGTACCGAAGATGAAGTAATAGATTTCTCGCATGGTTTGGCGATGTACGAGCGATGTCCCCGGGCGGTGGAGCCCCTGTGGGTGGAGGGGGCTGGCCACAACGACATAGAGCTTTATGCACAGTACCTAGAACGACTAAAACAGTTCATATCTCACGAACTCCCCAATTCCTGAAGAAACCTACTTGATCTCTTTTCCTTTTCTTCTTCTTTTTTTTTTTACCTCAGTTAACTGTGAATGGAAGAATTTACCTGTTTTTGCACATGCATTAACTGGCTTAGCTGTAATAGCTTTATACTATGAATAAATGCCCTCTCATTAGGGTTTATCCAATCAGCTCTCGACTGTCTTTTTATATCAGGAAACTGTTCTAACAGTCACTACTGTAATCCCAATTGTTTTTTTACCTTCAACACGCTAGAAAAGCTGGCAGTTTTAGAAGGGGTGCTAGCTAAACTTGAGGGATACTACTTAATCTAGCAGTTATAATACTTCCAACTTTTTCCCTACCCAACCCTTCAAGTTGCTTGTCTTATAATGTTTTCTTTCTCTTTGAGAAAAAAATCTTCCCACAATCTGGAATGCAAGAAATCTGGATGATAGCTTCCTACTGATTTATGGAACCAGTCTAAGAGCATTCTCCATGTAAAATTTCTAGCTGTGCTATTGTAACTGGAAAGGTTTTTTTGTGGTGATTTCTCATTGTGTTTTTTTGTTTGTTTTTTTGCCAACCTTACCTTCCTAAGTAAATTAATTAATGAAAATTTCCCGGGGTCACAGATTTTTAAATGGGGCTAATTCTGAAATGACCTTTCACCAGTTTTCTGCATATTTACAAAATATTCCTAAAGGAATAACGACTGAACGGCTAAACCCTTTAATTCTTTTTACTTTTTAAAAAATGTGTAAATTTACTAAACCCAGTTATTCAGATGATGTTTACACTCTGAATAAAAGCCAACTTTGGCATTTCCTTGTGTAAAGCATTCCTTATAGAGGTTTTTAAAAGTATTGTACATAAGTGTATTTACATTTATGCATAACTCCTGATTGGTAGTTTAAAATTTAAGTCTAGTTAACAAATTCTGGTTTGTATATGAATACATTTTGTTAAAGTTTTTATCCCTGCATTATTTTGCTATTAAAAGTTTTATAAGATTTCCAGGACAACTAAAAATATTTACACATTTGTTTTTGACAAATTTATGTAAGAAACTTTCATTGAAACTGATCCTTTTTGTTTAGGGGAAATTTTTCATTCTCTGACACTGGAATCGCACAGAATATGCAAGACAATTAAATCATTACACTAAGAGGCCTGAGGTTTTTTCCCAAATTGTACGGCCTTAAATGTACTGTAAGCCTCTGATTGTTGTAAAAATGGATTGCGATGGATTATGGTTTGTGTTCTTGTTGCCAGAATGCAACAACAGTGATTGTAATGGAATAAAGGATGCATGGAATAGAGAATACTGGACTTTGCTTCACTTTGTCCCATGGTCAAATTGCACCAAAAGCCACACAAAGCTCGTATATAAGTCTTTTATTACTGACACCAATCAAAGGATGAAGACTTGAAGATGTACAGACAGTATTGTGCTGCAGTATAGACCGGAGACTGTTAATGTCGTGTAATGACTGTGGTGTTGGGCTTGAGTCCAGTGGGTCCTGCATTCAAATCTTGACTCCCCATTAGTCCCCAGTAGCCTGCATTCTTTTCATGTTGAAAACCATCTCTGGCTTTCTCCCTGCTGCCGATAGGCTATTCTGGCCTAAAATGATGGGCCAGTGGCGCAGACCCTCCCAGTGTCCCTATTTTCTAGGGACAGTCCCGGATTTACAGAAGCCATCCCAGAATGTCCTGTTTTTCCATGGGCATCTCTATTTTCATCAGAGGAATGTTGGGAGGGTTATGTGACCCCTGAGCCAAGGAGATAACTTTACAACCTTGAAAGCTTGGGGAAGTTTTTTAATGTCAGCTAGGCGGGGTATAAATAATAAAATTATTATTATTATTACTACCACTATAGAATAGGTAAAGGGACCCCTAACCATTAGGTCCAGTCGTGACCGACTCTGGGGTTGCGGCGCTCATCTCACTTTACTGGCCGAGGGAGCCGGCGTACAGCTTCCGGGTCATGTGGCCAGCATGACTAAGCCGCTTCTGGCGAACCAGAGCAGTGTACGGAAACGCCATTTACCTTCCCACCAGAGCAGTACCTATTTATCTACTTGCACTTTGATGTGCTTTCGAACTGCTAGGTTGGCAGGAGCAGGGACCGAGCAACGGGAGCTCACCCCGTCGCGGGGATTCGAACCAGTGACCTTCTGATCGGCAAGTCCTAGGCTCTGTGGTTTAACCCACAGCGCCACCCGCGTCCCTACCACTATAGAATAGGACATCCCTATTTTCATCAGAGAAATGTTGGAGGGCATGGTGATGTGACTCGGCTGAAGGCATCTTCATCTTCAAAGTTGAACTAGGCAGCCATTGTATCCCAGTCCAGGGGCATTCAGACTTTTTGCCTTCCTGGACCCCTTGCACATCACCAGAACAGATTGGCCCTTTGCAGCACATTGCAGTCTGCTGCATGTTCTAGGGGCAGTGGCAGTTACTTCCACAATTGCTGCAGAAGATCAGCAGTGGGCTTGCAAGCTGTCTTTCATAGATCCTTAGCCTGCTGTTCCGAACTTCCTTGCTGATTGAGCCCACCATTCCTTGGGACACAGGATGCAGGCTGCTGTTGGCCTAATCTACCCCGAAGGGCTATTTATGACACACCATCCTCATGTTAAGGAATGTGACCATTACAGTACAGTACACTAAAACGGAAGCCTTCCTTTTGACTTGTGTAATGCAACTGCTTATGAGTGACACTTGATCAGCTCAGAGGGAACTCTTCACTCATTGGAAATCACAGCTTGGTACTTGTGTTTCAGTTTGGCCATCGTGGCCTTGCTTTGACAGGAATGCAATTAACTCATGTCAGTACTTCAAGTGTGTACAGATTTGATTTCATGAAACCGCAGGGGCAGAGTAATTAACATTAGAGTGGTGCTTCCTTTCAGTACCCGGAACACATGAGAAGAAAATGTCTTCCTGTTAATCCACAGTATCTAGGGAGCAAGTCAATCTCTGAAATAGCCAGTCTAGCTCTAAACTTATATCCAGCTATTTTTATTTTATTTAGATTTGTACTCCACTCTTCAAATTATTATCAACACCATAAAATAACCGAAGTCTTGTGGCACCTTAAAAAGATGAACCAAACTTCTTATGGCTTAAGTGTAGTCGTAAAATTGGAAGGGACCCAAGGCTCATCTAGCCCAATCCCCTGCAATACAGGAATATCCACATGCTCTTCCCCAACCAGTTTGAAACCGTACCAGAGTCTGCTTAGCTTTGCAAATATGCTAGCAGCACCACTATGGAAGCTGTTTCTTTAATAAATCTGTTACTCTTTAAGGTGCCACAAAACTTAGTTGTATTTGCATGGCTAACTGGAAATAAAATGACTAAGACAAGCCTATAAAAGACAAAAAAATAATCAAGTAAAACAAATATTAAGGGTTTGCCTGGTGCCAGCAAAGCATTCCAAAGCCAGGACACAAAGTGCTGGAAAAATCCTCTCCCCCAATAACCACTTGCCCCAGCTCAGAGAAACCCAGAGGAGAAAGGTCTGATTAGTCCCTTTTAAATTATATGAAGGCCTCTGTGGATGCAGCTCCCCTTGGCTAAGGTTCCTCACTCAAGAACATTCTGTAATGCATTTTCTTGTACTGTAACTAGATTACATGTTCCCTGTTTCAAATGAGAGAAAAGAACAAGAAATGTCTCAAACTCTTAAAAGCAACCCTTTTTTGGCCAACCAAAGTAGCATCTTTAATAAGTGGATACCTGCGTTAAAAAGTGGATACCTGCAGTTCCTTTTGTGCACATTAACCCTTATTCATGAGCAACTTGTGCACACCCTATGTGTTTACCATCACTGCTATAGTACTACCTACCTATTCTGCTCAAATGCTGAATAAGTTCTCATTTGTCTCTTGGCCTTATGGGATAATTGGTCTTTTTCAGTCCACTGCAGTGAGATTCCTTATAGCAAAAATCTATGGAGGTGTTATTCTGCAGCAGGCTGGTGTTTTCCCCCTGCTGAATTTATAACTGGTGGGGAGGAATTAGCAAAAAAACAAACAAACCCAGCCCTTTCTCTGTAAGTTTTCATCCTCCGAACTTGAATTTCATTCCCTTTCTACAGCCACAGTAAATACCTTTAAAAGATTGCCTACAGAAGACTTTTATCCCTTCTCACAAAAATGATATTTACATAGCTTTCAACATTTTGCTGGTTTGGGGTGCATGATATTAAATGAGTGAGTTCCGATGTCATAAATCCTTGCATCATCACAGGAGCTTTAGAGAGACATGTAGCACCTTAAGGACAAACTAATGTATGGCATAAGCTTTCATGAGTCCACTCCATCATTTTATTATTTACATTTCTACCTCACCCAACGGAGTCCAGGGCAGCAAACAGCGATGAATAAATAAAGCCTAGTGAGAACACATACAAACATATCTAAAAGCATTTTAAAACACCCACATGCCCTCATAAGCTAATAATTTCAAGGTTGCCAGGAACAGTATTTTTCGGCCAACAAATGCTTGGGCAAACAGGAATGTTCAAAAATTCCTCCTGAATGTGCATTATGAGCGTGTTATATGTGGTGAAAAGAGAGGTCAGAAGGAAATGCAAATGCAAAATTCAGATGGGATGATGATAATGATTACAATTTGTATACAGTGGTACCTTGGGTTAAGTACTTAATTTGTTCCAGAGGTCCGTACTTAACCTGAAACTGTTCTTAACCTGAAGCACCACTTTAGCTAATGGGGCCTCCTGCTGCTGCTGCGCCGCCAGAGCACAATTTCTGTTCTCATCCTGAAGCAAAGTTCTTAACCTGAAGCACTATTTCTGGATTAGCGGAGTCTGTAACCTGAAGCGTATGTAACCTGAAGCATATGTAACCCAAGGTACCACTGTACCTCCCTATACCTGCAGGTCTTGGGGCGGTTCATAACATAAAATCACAATATAAAAGCAAAATACATAATATAAAACAAGAACAACATGCTTCCATCATGAACCTCTTCCCACCCTGAAAATACTTCCAAACTCAACCCCACCCCCCACTGAAGGCAACCCCACTCCTCACCCCCATCCTGAAATAGGGGCCTGGCTGTACTTCCTGGCCAGCCCAGCTGCCCCCTCTCATGTCACCTGTCCCAATCTCCCCACCACCACTGGGGCAGGACCCCCAGTATTATGTAACTGACAGCCATTCACAAAAAGAAGTAAGTTGCCAGCAGGGACATTTTGCCTTTGGAGAGATGCTATACAACTCGCAAGTCTACAGAAGCAGTCTAGACCTTTATCTAACCTGAATTGATTGGTCAAGGCACAGGTGATCATTTGGTGTCAGCATCACTGCTTGATAGCCCTGCAGAGAGCACAATTCAACACCTGCAAAGTCGATCCCGTTGAATTAAATGGGGCTCAGTCCCAGGTGAGTTGGAACAGAACTGCAGCAGCCCTAGTTTTTCTTTGGCTAAAGGTTAGTTTAGTTTTGGAGGAAGGTGTGAAAGAAGGGCACGCAGGCTTGGAATTTTGCATCGACGGCAACTCCTGAAACCTCGGCGAAGGAGAGAAAATAAATAACGCAAACCAGGTTATTCAGAGTACAGCCGCCGGGTAAATTTGGAAAGCAGACGCGAGGTGCACGTCCGGTGTGTGTTTATTACGATGAGTAATCCTTACTTTTATTTTTATTTAATGGTTTTGGGTGCCTTGGAGACACGGTGAAGCTAAAAGCAAGGATAGAAACGGGGTGCAAAATTGATTGCAAGCTGAAGATCGCTCTTTGCTAAGCAACTACGCGGGAGGGAGGTGGCCTCGCATCATCTCGCCTTGGGGGCAGCCTAAGTTTTGGCACTGAAAATGCAAAGAGGCTGAAGGGCCGCAAGCCTAGCAGCTAGTTACACTGCCTTCTTCCAATTTGGCTGCAGTTGAAGGCGGCGGAGGCGTCTGCTGAGGAGGAAGAGAGATAGAGAGAGAGGCCGTGCGGGAAAGATCCGCCGCCAACGTCCATTGCAAGATGTTGCACAGACGACCCGACCGTCCAGGTGAGGAGCGAGAGGGTAGGACTCGAACCCGCAGCCCAGTTCCACGTAGAGGGGTGGGGGCGCCGATAGGAAAGCGTGGCAGCCCAAGCTCCTCCTGCCTGGTCCTTTAGCTCCTCCCGGAGACTCCCTCATCAGGGCGCAAAAAGCTGTGGAAAATGCCTCTCTTTGCCTATCAGATCAGCCCCCTGAGCCCGGCCTTGGCTGGGGAGGGCGGGGTATAAATAAAAAATATTATTATTAGGATCAGACCAAGGCTGTCCGGCCCGCTGCGTTCTCTCTTGGGATA